GGTAATTTTACCATTACCCTGTATCCAGTTTCAGTTATTCCGCATGTCGATTCCCTTACTCTGTCAGTCATCAACTTCCCAGCAAAATCTGCCTTGATAGGAAGTTGTATTTTTGCAGATTGCTTCAGAAGATCTTGATCTTATTGTAATCACTCAGCCATATTCTTTTGTCCCATGTTTTATTACAGCACATATTTCCTTTTGGTGATTTAACTTCAAAATTACATTTATGAGTTATCTCCAAATTGCTTATTTTTTGGTATTTGTTATGCTCCTGAACTATTTCTGTACCTGCAAAAAAGATTAAGCTGCATTTTTTCTTTTCTCACTGATTCATGTCCCATGTTTGAAGTCAGTTCTTTTATAAACATGATCTCTGACACCCAGTGTCAACAAGGGTTCTAATAAGCCGCGCTTTCTCATTTCCATTAATTAGAACATTTTTGCATCAAGTTTGTATCTGTACTTCTGGCAAACTTTTTAATCGACACAGAAAAACACTTTGTACCTTTAAAAATTTTTTTTTGTAATCTTTAGATAAATGACATGGTGTTAAATATATAAAACATAATTCATTTTTTTAACAAAACCTGTTTCTCCGATCTAATGATAAACTTTTAGCGGATTTATGCTTTACAATGTTGTGGTTCTTATCAAAAAATATAAATTTTTCTTTTATGTAAGTTTTGCTTTTGTAGATAAATTGTGCAAAGTTCCGCGGCTGTCGGAATTTTATTCTCCCTTTTTCAGAAATATTTATTTTGTGATCGATTTTCTATATTAAATCCTTGTTATTCTCTCTTCTCTTTCCATTTCTTTCTTCAGAAATGTCATAAATAGTTCCAATTTATTTGTTGAAATCTCTTTCTCAACCGAGGTTATGTTTTTCCCCATATTCTCAAAATATAATCTGATAAACCGGATTTAATAATAGGATACAGCATAGCTTCGATAGCTGTAATTTTCAGGAATAGGAGGAAAACTCTGTACAAGATGCTTAACTTTAGATCTAGTTCTTTTCCAAACAAAGTAGTTAATATTGATACCTATTTTCAGGGTCAATCTTCATGAAATTTTCTAAATTGTCCCACAAATTCCAACTAGTCTTTTACCAACCGGTCTACGTTACTGAACTTTCTTAATTCAATGATAGGATTTTTCCTTAATTAAATTTTCATAACTTGTAGAGACATTAGGTTATTTCAAAGCAGAAGAGATGAAAAAGGAGCAGTGGCCTCACCTGGACTCGAACCACGGAGCTCTTGAATACGCGCCGAGCGTGCTGACCATTATACCACGGAGTTATGGTAAAAAGGCGGGAGAAATACCTTATATACTTTCTCTTTTAAAGAACGACTCGAGATTGGAGGACCCAGTTGCCAAATTCTGGTAGTGGAGAATCATCACCCACCACCTTTTTTAATTCATGTGTACTGTAGAGACATTATGTTATTTCGAAGCAGAAGAGAGGAAAAATGAGCAGTGCCCTTGCCAGGACTCGAACCATGGACCTCTCGAATACGTGCCGAGTGTGCTGACTATTACACCACGAAGGCATGCTAAGAAGGCAGGAGAAATACCTTATAATCTTGTTACCATATGTTTAACTTTAGAGCTAGTCTCCGAACAAAGTAGTATATACTGGTACTTATCTTCAGGGTCAATTTTCTGATCATCGAAGAAAATTTCTAAATCGCTCCCAGAATCCCAACTAGTCTTTTACCAACTAGTCTACGTTCTTAAACTTTCTTAATTCAGTTTTAGGAATTTCTATTGTTTTTCTTAATTAAATCTTCTTAACTAAATTTTCTAATATTTCATGAACTTCTTTTAGCAGCTTCATTCTTATCTCTATGTAAAATTTTATCCTTTTCATTAGACCTCTATTCAAGCCTAATTTCTTTCGCTTTAAAATATAGTAAAAGCCGCTTATTAAAATCATGTCTGTTCCAAACATATTTTAATTTATTAATCAACTGAGTTTAATAGGCGGCAGTTTATGTATTGCAAATCGTGATATCAGTTTTAAACATTTCAAGTAAAATAATTACTAGCAACTGATTCAATAATGAATCCTAATTAATGCTAAAGTAATAATCATAATTAATGCTAAAGTTAAACTATTAACGCAATTTTGAAATTCATTTTTTACATTTTTATAATTATGTTCTTGATGAAATTTTATCATTTGCAAACAGCTAGGTTTATATTTATATAAACGAATGAATGTATGCTCATATCGTTCAACAACAGTTTCTCAATTAAATTGTAATTTCGTAAAACACAGATTCGACTAATGATGGAAGGTCATCACTTAATTTGTAACAGTTTCGCTGTCAGTTTTTGAAGCCAGTTCACTGTCTTTAGCTGTCAGTTTCTTTTACTTGCATTGTAAATTTTTATAAAGATTATCTCAATGTTGCTATCATAACCTCCGCCACTGATGTCTGAATTTTATAAGCTATAGTTTTTATTCTTCTGAAGCTTTTTCTATATGAAAATCCATTTTAAATGATTTTTGGAGTTAAACCTTCTACATTGATTATAATATGATTGGATCCTAGCGAAAATATCAGTTTACACATTTTCTTTGAAGGTCTTGCATTTTCACAAAATTCTGTTGTGTTCATCGTTTTCTGAACTTTTCTGTAACGACATTTAAAAGCTTTTCGAGTACCCAGAAAATTAAAGAAAGGTTAGAAGTTGTATTTGTCGAAAGAGACTCTAGTGTTTTTCATAAAAGAAGCGGGGGTGTGTGCTGCACAGATATCTAATTTATAAAGCTACTTTTCACTTGTTTCTGTGGTAATTCAGGTGTAAAATCTAAAATCTTGATTTCTTTTAAACATAGGGGCTTTCTGCTTTTGTCAGTAACCAATGCTGTCTTTTTAATTTCTTAGGTTATATTGTGCATTTATAATACAGTAACGTATTCCTTTAGTTTCTTAATCCAACTGCTCTTTAACTGATGTTGAAATATTAAAGTATATTCTGTAACGCAGTACAATTTCGTTTGTGTTGTAAGTTTCGTGTGGCTTGCATTCATTGACCAACCCAAGTAAAACGTCTTTTATCCAACTTTCAGCTATATAGTGATCAGCTTCTTTCTTCTCACTATGCAGTTTCAGGTGAAAAATACTGCGTCTCTTTTTCTCCAACATGTGAGTCATTTGTCAATTCATATTTAGTTCTCTCGTAGCATTTAGCAGATCAGGAAAATAGCTATAGAAGTAGAAATACCTTTTAGATTTATAGTTGAAACATTCTAGAAGTAATTTCAAAGTCTGTAGACTTTCTGGCTTTTTTTCGTTTCCTTGAGATACCTGCATTTTTATTTGTTCTTCATTAATTATAATTCCTTGTCTAAATAAATTGCAGAATGCTGTTTGGAAAATTCTCAGTTTAAATGCAGTTTTCCTCTGGATGCAGTTACCAATAACATCAAAATCTTTGAACAATTTGTCCTTCTCTTTCAAGCTTAAGACATTTCGCTTGGCATTTTCAACTTGTTACAAATTAAACACAAAGTAAAGTCTTAAAAAATGCTTCTTTCAGTGATTTACAAAGACTTTATAACTTGACGTTTTTAGCTACAAAAAGGTTGCCTTTTGTCTGTTTAGTAGATCTGTCACTTCGTGATTACAAACATGACGATACTTTCCTTGTTTTTTCTTCAGTCTGCAGTAAATACCTCCTTTTCATTCAAAGACACTTAACGTACGGTAATACAAGAAGCATTTCAAGAACTTTTTCATTAAACTCTCTGTGAATATAGTGTGTCTATCCCAAAGAAAAGATTATGAATGTGTAAAATTTAAAGGATGGGATACAGAAGTTGTATGTCCACCTTCTATCAGCTAGTATACGAGAAGGAACACTCACCTATTTACAGTGCCTGTACTGTAGAGGAATATTTTGTTAACTTTAAGGATACAGAAACTCTACTCCTTTGAAATCCATTCCTGAAAAAGAACTCTTAGAAGGGTATCTAGCATCTACAGGCAACCAGAGTTAAAAGAAATTCAAGTCAAATCTGTTTTATTGAAGCACTACATACTTGAATGATAAAGCCACAGTTTACAATACGTTAGGTGTATGAATTTCTGGAAGCTTTGATAGGCACACATAGGATATTCTGGATCTGAAGAATCAGACTTTTACCTATCTCAGTTTAATAACTGGCGGAGATGAATTGACTAAATTTAATAAACGACGGATTTTGTATTGATTAGTATATATTTTGTTTGGTTTCTGGAAATCTGAAGGCACTAACCGACTGAGTTTATTAACCACCTAACTTATCTTGTCTTAACCCGATAGAGCACATCAGCTCCATGACATCCCAGATGTGCATATGACAACATGACATCCCAGATGACTTCTACAGTACAGGCACTGTAAAAAGGTGGGCGTTCCTTCTCCAACACGACTATGTTGGAATATCTCGACTTTGTGTCATCGATGCTTAGACATTTGGTACAGCCTGTCTCCAGGCATCTGCCAAGAACTTGTGGCATCCATGCCAAGGTGAGCTGCAGCTGTTTTCCAGGCCAAAGTTTGCATAATGCGCTATTGAGTAGGTGGTCATAATATTTTGGTTCTTCAGTGTATATATACAAACATCTATTACAGTTTTTCGATTATTCACATAGTAACTGTCCATTGTCCTCTATCACTATAGCAGCATCAAGCGGCCCACAGCCTGCCAATAGACTCAACTACCTTAAATTCCGATTCTTATAAAAAAAAATAAAAGTTTTCGAAAGCAACTTGCTTATTATCCAATAAGGTTATATCTACGTTAATTTACCATGCTTTAATGTGGATCAGAGCATGAAATACAGTTAATTCGTTAGCTACATTTTGGATTACACAAAATAATAAAACATTAAGATAATCCGAAGCTGGGAATACTTAACTGCTTTAACTATACTATTGCTTACTAAAACTATAGCATTTTTAGATGTAGTGTGAATTGCAACTCCTTTACGTAATATTTCAGGTATCCATGGATAAGGAAATTGTGAAGAATTATAATATAGGCAAGAAAGCAATACCTGTGCGAGGATGCAGAAGTATTTCCAAACGAGATATGATATTCAACGATGCTCTTCCACGTATAAAAGGTTAGTATACAACTATGGGAATTATTCCATTATGCTTCCATGTATTTAATTTCATTTACATACTATATCTTCATGTGTGGAAGGTAAAAAACAAATAAAAAAATTATGAAAGACAATTTCGGGAATGGAATAGCAATGGAGTCCACGTATGCATATAAATCAATGTATGTGTGAAGTAAATTGGAACCAACAAATATGGAACTGATGTAGTTTAATTACTTTTCAAATAATACTTGTTTATCTTAAGTGTGTTTTATCATATTTCACGTATATCATTTTTTGATTTAACGCTTAGGCTTCGCATTCAGGAGAAACCGTTAGTTCGAATTTCAGAGATTGATAATTTTCCAAGCTAACAATATACTTTAGATATAGGATGAGCTACACATACGAGCAACATGCAAGGAACACTATGCTCCTAAATGCTCAGAATGGAATTAAGCATATCGAAATGTGTGATGAAAGAAATTGCCAATGTATCTTATGGGAAAAAACGCAGTATTTTCCTGAAGAGTACAACACCGAAGAAACTATGAATAAGTCTTTCTTCTAAATAATATTTCATTGTTGCTTTTTTTTAGTGATTGATCTGTTTTTATTAGTGTGTTTGTCTTTTCTATTACTCTTTTTTTCACATTGTGTGTAAATGTGAAACACATTATGTGAATTATTAACTGCCAGTGAACTTTCCAATAAGTGTTATTTTAGAATTTTAACACCGTAAGAAATTTTTCTTAATCCTTACCGCATGTCTTCGTAGAACAACAGGTTATTATCGGGGGGACCGAAGTTCGAATCTCGGTGACGGTATTACTCATTTTTCATTATTCCTCTTTTGAAATATAAACTTAAAGAATTTAGATGTATCACCCGAGCTAAAACGTGGTGGATGATAATTCTACACCACCTAGATCTGTGTTTGAGTTCGCTCCTACCCAGTCGCCCTTTAAATGGGGAACGATGTAAAGAATTTTTCTTCTTTCTTATGGCATTGCTTCGTGGTATAAATACACTCATGTTCATAAATTAAGGATTATTCGGAGTAACGCGGAAATCGAACTCTAAAATAAATATATCATCTGTAAAATCACTACACACATCTTCAAGAACCGTATGCAATTTCAGGTAGTAACTAGATGACACTGATGGTACGTCACAATGACGAGAGAGTGTAAGAGGTGATATATAAGGAATACAGGCAAAGAAGTAAAATTGTTTCGCAGGCACTTTATAAGCATTTCAGTTCAATAACCGAATAGTTATGACACAAAGAAGCATTTGGATGATTTTTTACGTGGTAGAATTATCGGCCGTCTGGAATGTGGGCGTACCCCACTGGAAGTATCAGAACAACTTGGAATTGCCCAGAGTGTCATCTCCAGCTTTGGCAACGATTCCAAGATGATGGTAATGTGAGTGACGTTACAGCACAGGTCGCCCCAGAGTTACAGCGCCGAATAAGGGACCGGTATTTGGCAGTTACTGCCAAAACAAACAGGTGGAGCACAGCCTGAGACCTGCCTCGTCAGCTCTCTTCAGCCACTGGTACGACAATTTCAAGGCAGACCGTGTACAGACGCTTAGGGCAGATTGGTTTATATGTTCGTAGACCTGTCAGATGCGTTCCACTTACTGCAACTCACTGTCGCCTGCGGGTTAGCCTGGAGTAGAGAGCATGCACTGTGGACACCGCAACAGTGGGCTTGTGTGATGTTTTCCGACGAGTCCAGGTTTAGCTTGCAGTCTGATTCTCGCCGGACTTTCATATGGAGAGCTCCAGGTATTCGTTACCACCAAGAAAACATCATTGAACGACACCGTTACGGTGGTGTAGGAGTGCTCGTTTGGGGTGGAATTATTCTGGGTTCCAGAACTGACCTTCATGTTCAAATTGGAATCATGACAAGCCATATCTATCGGGACGTCATTCTGGAACAACATGTACATTTGTTCGGGGTGCCATGGGCACACAATTTGTTTATGGATGACAACGCCAGTCCTCACCGTGCAAATATCGTAAGCGAATGCCTTCAATCGGAGGATATCACCCGTACAGACTGGCCAGCATTCTCACCAGACTTGAACCAGTAGAACACGTGTGGGACATGCTTGGCCGACGAGTTGCAGCCCGTCAACCTCCTTCTACATGTCTACCGGAACTTCGGAGTGCATTGCTTTTAGTGGTGTAATATCCCCCAAGATCAGATCGATAATTTGATACTCAGCATGCCTAGGCGTTGTACGGACTGTATTGCATCGTCTGGGAGACATACAATGTATTAACAATCAACCAACCATGTAATATTGGTTTTTTGTAAATAGGTTTTTTTTTTTTTAATTTGCTCCAGGGAGAAAAAAATCGCTAATTTTTTTAATAATATCAAACATATAGCATCTTTTTTTGCTCTTTACCTTTTGTTTAATAAATAAGCTTTACAAATAAGTCAAATTTGGTTTGCTTCTAACTCTTCCTTTGCCTGATTTTGCATTATCCTTAATTTATGGACATGAGTGTAAAACCAGATTTGACGAGAAATTGGCAGATCCAAATTTCAAATCCCGGCTAAGATAATTGCTCATTTTTCCTATTTCTTTATCCGAAATGAGCTTAATTACTGTATAGCATTTGTTTTTAAAGCATATGACCATTCTTAAAATCATTGACGTTACTAAACACGGGTTGCCAATAGATATAATTTATCATCTGAAGAATCTTTTTGCGAATCGATAGTGAACGCCATTGATAATTTATTAATTATCCATTTTCTGATATCAGATTCTTGCTCTTAATGGAAATATCTTATATTTTACTTACCTCAAGTGATATAGTGTACTAAATTTCATGATAACAGAGACATTAAATTTCACTTTAAAGACTAAAGTATAAATTTTACTGAACAAAGTAAAAATAACTTAGAAACTGAACTTAACGAGAGGTGGAGTATCACAGTTTTACTCAGGTTATTGAATTATGCGTACATGTATCCCATATCTTTATATATAAAGATACTGGATTTATGTGCACATAATTTCACAAGTTTCCATGTGAGCTGCAGAAGGACTTCTGTGCGATTCTATGCACCATACGAAATATTATACGAGCTTTGTTACATACCCTAAGAAGCTTAAGGGGTAGACTAGGTGTAACCTTGAGCAATCTCCTTCGCCAGGAATCGAACGACGGCCCTCTGGAATACCGGTCCAGCGTGCAGAACCACTACACCACGAAGGCACGCTAGGAAGGCGGAAGAAATATTTTATAAGTCATAAGGTTTTTTGAAGGAGATGACGTGATAAATGTGTAATGCCCTCACAGGGACTCGGATTCTAGACCTCTCGAATACGCATTGTATGATTGCAGTTACACTACGAAGGCATGTTGAATGGAGAGAGAAAATACCTTATAGTATTTTTAAAACGTATCGTAATTTAGTGTTTTTATTTTGAAAAGTTTGAAATAAATTTAAGTATAGAAATAGCTGTAGAGAATAAATATTTAGATATTGGTAGGTGGCAATCGCAAAAATTATAAATAAAGATTAAAATTATTAATAAATGGCAGTCACGACAGTTCTAAATGTGTTTTCATGTGTGTTTGCAATTTTATTATCGCCGATGCTACAATTTTTATACTTACAGAGATTCGCGCACACTCATAACCTTTACAGAGTTGGAATTCTAAAATGGTATTTGGGCTGACCGAAAATATATATGCATAATATGAATATTTGACCTCCCATATTTACTTTATTATTTTCAAGATTGTTTTTAATAGTGATTAACAAAAATTGTTCAATTTTTACCCAAGGTACAAAACGACAAGTGTTTGCAAGGAGTAATTTGTTTTTTACAGTTAATGTTGGTATTACATATGATAAGCCATTAATTTATCTAAAAGGTTGTAGAACATTCTTTATTATTTTTGAATATTTGACAGTTTTTTTAAGCGATGGTCTTTATTGTAGTGCATTTTAATTTAGCCTTGTGTTTTCACCTATATCGAAAGGTATTATTTATTTATTTTTTAATTTAATCTGCTAGTTATGTGCCAACTCATTACAGAATACAGAATAACTCATTCTAATTCACCTAAAGCTACCTCCTCTACAACAGCGAAACAAACGACTGACCTATTTCGATAGCATTTTAAGAAATTATCTTATTTCTTATTCAAATGCCGTGCATTTAACTGTCTTTATTTGAGCTCGAATCATTTTACTTTAATAGAATTGTGTCAGTTTGTAATAGAATTGCGTCATTTTGCAATATTGTAAGTGCAAAATAATTACTAAATACTGAAGCTCAGCTTTTAAATAATAGACATAAGCTTAACAATTAATATTAATATTGGAAATATCTCCAGAAATGCTTAATCGATAAATTTAACACTTAAAGAATTGCATAATCGATAATAAATGCTCGTTAATGTCCACTGAATGAAGTCAGAAAAAAAGATACATATTTCCTCTTCGGAAAACAAAAGTTAATTTCTGTAGGCATGTAAATAATTAGTTCGATGTAAATGATGAAATGTTCCCCGCTAATTACTGGGGAAAGAAAACAAAGTATCTAAGATTTTTTTAGATGCGCGAGTTTAGGAGCAAAAAAAGGGAAAAAGAATTTTATTGGAATAAAAAGAGTAAGAGGAGGAGCATCTGAGTAAAAAATAAGCTTTCAAAAGAAAACAATAATATGTAGCTGAATTATGGAATAAGATATTAAAGAGTCTAAATATAAGAAATGTTTTGAGGCTAAGGCAACAAATTTAAACGCATGCAATAGTGAAGCTGTTACATAATTTGTAAAAGTTTTTGAGAGATACTCTTAGATGAGGAGATATGTATTATTTTATTCTTTTTTAATATATGTCAGTTTTGGTTTTTAGAAAGTTAGTTATTGAAAAAAGAAGTAACTAAATTACATTTCCTAGTAAAAATTATGTTTCAGCCGTAATTATTGTAATTTGACTTTGATAAACAATAAAATGTGAGGTTTATTGTAAACTTTTAGAATCATTAAGTAAAAAAAATCGTGAAAAATTAGCAGTGACCTTGCCGTGACTTGAACTCGACCAATACTGGTGGTGACGAAATATTATCCACAACCTCTTTTGGTTCGGGCACCATACTTGAGTCATTAGGCTTTTTTTTTCCCTGAAGCAAGAATCTTGAAAAATCAGGAATACCCTTGGCGAGACTCTAACTTGGACCTCTCGAATACACGCCGAGTGGGCTATCATTACACCACGAAGGCATGCTGGAAGGAGGGAGAAAACAACCTTATACGTGCATAGAGGCAACCCAAACAGGATCATAAGGTCATTTTAGACCAGGTGGATCGGGTCTTATTCCGCTCATTTGTAACCTTATACGTGCAATACAAAACCGAGAATCTTCATCGTCTAGTCACATTCACACGTGACTTCTGAAATGTTGAACTTCTCTGCTTAAAGCAGCAGAGAGTAGCGATTATTTCTTCATTCGCCGTTTCTTTCCTTCCCTTCCCTTTTATGTCGGACCACCTTGCATCTTACAACCTCTGCATGTCATGTTATGCTACGTAGTTCCCTGAAATTTGCATAGTTATACTGGTAAACTACATGGTGTTGCAATTCCTGTGTCGGACAGTGTCCACAAGTTTTCGTCATGCATCTTTGATATTAAAAAACAATTTTCGTCGTTTTGAAGTTTTATAAGCATAAAAAATATTGCTTCTGTATTAGCTTCTTCTTTTTCAATTCGCCAATTCTTGTTTTCTGGAATTTTGAATTGGAAAATTTTGAATAAAAACACTAAATCTTTTTGCAGGTATGCCGAGATATACATCTACATTAAGATGATAGTAAAAAAACTGATAGGTTGAATTCAAAATTGTTTCGAAAAATTTATAAAAGTTACTAAAAATACAAATTCTAAAAACAAATCAGAAAGTTGCTATGAATTTTATTTGGGTTGAATGCTAATTTTGAACTGTGAAAGACGGAATCAAGTAAGTTTATAAGGTATTTCTCCCACTTCCCTAGCGTGCCTTCGTGGTGTAACGGTAGCACGCTGGGCTGGTATTCCAGAGGTCCGTGGTTCGATTCTCGGCGAAGGTGATTGCACATTTGTCATTTTTCCGGCATCCAAAATAATCCTAATGCGTCTACAGTGGCGCTCGAACTAAAAGGGTGTTGGATGATGATTCTTCTCACCAGGATTTGGCGACTAGGTTCCCTAAAACCTCAGTCACTCGCCCTTTAGAAAGGGGAGTTTAATATAACACTAAGAAGCTAAAATTTTCAGAGCTAATTAAAAAAAAAAAAAAAAAAAAAAAAAAAAAAAAAAAAAAAACTATTCGTGTGATTTTTGAAACACTTGGCATTTGGGTATAATTTGAGTCGTAGAATGGAAATAAGGAAAAGAAGTCGGTATGTCTCATTTACTGTACTATAAACTTTCAAATTAGGGTAGGAAATTATGAACCATGTAGTAACAATACAGTGCGTTATGTTATTACATATTACTTTATTCATTTGCAGTGTCTCCGGAAAATTACAAGACATTTATAATAGAAGCGTCAAAGAATGGGGAAGAAATATGCACGCATTTAACCTGTGAACCTGCCAAGATACTGCCTTTAGCTCAGAAATATTTTTTATTTTGACTTATGATTATGCTTTTTAAAAAGCTGATTTTATTTATAGTTTCATTTGAATTAATACGAATTTTATGGATTACACTTCCAAAGAATGCATATGAAGTGTACATTACTTTTGTGAATGAAGACATCTTTCTTGAACTTAGTTTGTATATTTATTGCGTTTTTGAATATTTATTGTGTTGTATTTTTATTGTGAATTACTATCATTTGACATACAGAAAGAATACAAATTTACATTATAGAAATACAGTAACATAGATTGATGCATGCTATTAACATTGATGCATGCTATTAAAGTCAGCGATTTCCTGAATATAATAAGGGAGTATGAATGCATATTAAGCTATTACTCTAAGTATAGTATTTCATTTAGAAACTTTATTCAGCAAATTAAGTAACTTTAAAAAATTATTTTACTGACTACAAATAATGTGTTAATATTAAAATAAAAATGGAAAAGGAATTTTCTCTCATCTCTCATGTGAATCTGAAAAATATTTTAACATTTGGAAAGTGTAGAAATAGGTACGTTTTCTTATTTCAAAAATACTAATAATAAACTTATATTTTCGAAGTTTCTTAAATTTAGATTTATATCATATTCCTTGTGCTTTAGTTAATTAAGCAAATACGTGTTTTAAAACTAAACACATGGAAATATTTGAAAGTTATTGATAGGGCCATTTAGGGACATGGGATATTATTGAGTATTTGGGATTGATTTAAATTAAAAACTTTTTAGATAAAAGGGAAACTATCTTTGCACAAAACTAAATAATTAGGCAGAAAAAGAAGGTAATTCTGTTTTGTAGCTGCTTGTGCAAAGTAATATTTATCATTGAAGTGGTATTAACAAAATCCCTTTAATTTTTAATTAAAGTTCTTATCAAATCGCTTTCATCATGAGCTTTGTAAATAAAGTTATGGAGCACTGTGTGTTTAATTAATTAAAGCATGAATATTTGATTCGCGCAATATTTATTCTATGAAAATTATATAAAATGTCATATGATCTTTTTAATTCTTCCCTTTCAACTGTACTGAATTTGCTTTCATAGCGTTAGGTGCCTTATTTTATAAAACTTTGTAAATAGAAACTCGTGTTTAGGACAAATAAATTAATAAAATTTTAGCCGTTGTTATATTTTTTCGAACAGACATTTCTAATTTAATCGCCCCCACAAGTTTATCAAATGACAACTGAACAGGCTTTAACATTGAAAATGTAAGAATAAAGTAAATAAATTATTTTCAATTTCCTTTCGGAAGAGAGAAAAAAAAAACAGCATGTATAGAAAAATTTTTGAAAGCAGATTTATGTTACGAGATAAAATTCAGTTAAAGAAAGGTTTTCATATAATACACTTTCGTTAAAAATGGGTATGTTAATTAATGAACTAAAAGGAGAAAAGTAATTTATCGTATAGTTTATTGGGAATACTAGATTAAATAATTCAGTTTACAGAATTCTTCTATAAATTTATATCGCGAATAATCATAAGTGGTCTCCTCTTGTAAATTAGAAAATATAATGGCTTACACATTTGACAATACAGTTGCTTTAACAGATTTCTTTAAATATTCGTTCTACGTTTTTATAAATACTAAACATTCCACTACCACGTTCATATCTTAAACATCAACTTATGAGCAAAGCCTAAATGCTGTGGGAAGGAGAATGGAACACCTTACAACAAGGAAGACACACGCATGATCATATACCAAACACAAATAGATACCAAAAAATCTTCATTTCACAATTAATACGCTTCGTCAGCGGACATGGAACTTTCTTGACATATTTCTACAGAACTACTTCGAAGAATAACCGTTGCGTGTGGGGCGGGCCAGGTTCACTGCAGCCCTACTTAAAAATCTACCAAATAACAGAGGAGCTGAATACAAAGTTTCTAACCAACAATCCGAAAATATCTAGTATAGCAATAGCATAAAAAGTAGATATTTAATGAAGCATTATCATTTAATACAAAACCTCTGTAAGGAAATGTATGCGCCCTCCCAGAACGGGGAAGTACTATTATGCGCTGTGAAATAAAATAACTCAGGGCACAATAATTTTCTGTGGCATTAATCTTTCAGCATAACTTTACTTCTTAATACTATTCCTCCCAGGTAATATGTTGATGGAAGTTTTAAGCATAGTATCTCTGTAGTGCAAAAGACATATCAACTGGTGTTACTTGACTCTTGTGTCACAGTAGTTTTGTCTGTGCCACACGTCAATTCGTATTTTTTGAAGTCCTCATTGATATGCCACAAGTCAACTCGAAAGTTCAAGTCGTCAATGGTATGCCACAAGTCAATTCGATGTGACTTATGTCAATTCGCCTGCCAATTTGTATGTAACGTAAGTCACAAGACAAAAGTTTGTATGTTACACATTGTGACACAAATCAGTTCGTATGTTAAAAAGCACACGAATTAAAGTTTCAAGTCTTGAATATAAATTTCCTACATTTGTCCTATATTAATAACATTCTACGTTTGTCACATGTAATAATTTAATACTTGATGCATAATTAAGAATCGGATTTGTTAATTCATTCATACGTCCATGTAAACTGTACATACATAATGCACAAAACATACTGTGTTCTATTATGTGGATTCTATTATATTTTATTATCCTGTTGTACGTTACTATATTCTTTTGCATATTATTATGCATTTAATCTTAGCACCATTCAGTATAAGCGTGTAACCTAGTGTTATACCTACCTGCTGAGAGATCAAAAGTAGAAATACAATTTCAGATATTCGATTTCTTTCGTTAGTGACGGGCGGGGGACAAAAACTGACTAACCTATAGCAAGTAAAAGGTTGTAGAGTAATTAGATTATTTTGAAGCAGGAGACGAAAAAAATTAGCAGTGCCCTAGCCGGGACTCGAACCTGGATTATCTCGAATACGCGCCGAGTGTGCTACCGTTACACCATGAAGGCATGCTGGAAGGAGACAGAAAATGTCTCATAAGGTTCTACCATCCTCCGTTAACAGTAAATTCTTCCAACTTCTTTTTTGATTGACTTTCCGATGAATCACTAATACCAGTCGAATCTAATTCCCAAAAGGTTCATAATAAAGTGTTAATTTCATGATTAGGATTTGAATATAAAGCTGCCTTGAACTGCGGAACTGTGTTTGTGAATATACCGTTACCATTTCTTAATTAATCAAAATTGTAGATACCAGGTTCTTAGACAGTTTACATATTTTACCAACTATTTACTTCTAATAATAATCTGATCCAATTAAAATTTATATCGTTAAATCAGTTTTATTGTTAAATTTTCTACCCGTTAACAGAAGTTCATCTGCCGACCAAAAACTTTCATTTTCCTTTCCTATGACAACTCCTATTTTCAATGGCAATGGAATTTCGCTATTAAATTCTATCTCTAACACTCACAATCATAACAGATCTATTACAAGAGCTTCGCAGATTAGCTTTGTACATTTTCTGTCTTCTTTAACTGATTTATTTGGTGATACGGATGTGATTTTAACTGAAAACATAGCATCGGCTAGTTTAAAAAATGTTTGAAAATATTTTAATAATAATTTAAACCTACGCAGGAAGGAACTGTTTATTAATATGCTTCTAGAAGTAACTAAAAGTATAACTAATAATGTTTGTAAATGTAGCATTGCACAAAAGATAAATAATACTACAGAAGATAAATATGTAAAATGAGTTTTCTAATAAAAGAAAAACGATCTGTAATGTTTCTATGCCATCAGAAAGAAATTATTTTTTATATGAACATAAAACCTGTGAATACATTAAACGCACATTTTTAGCAAATATGTATTTCCCATATGCATTTTTATTTTTACTATAGAGTTCTGAAGCTCAAAAGCAATAAACTAGGAATATTTACTCGTTGTATGTACAAGTTTTAATAACATCCTCATGCGCTATTTTCTTGAATAGCATAAATTTCAAAAGTATATTTTTGAATGGCTTTAGAGAAATTATATGTTTATTTGCTTATTTGGTTTGCTGTATTTCCGCTATTCATACTGTTATTTCATGGCAAACGAGAGTTGCTCACAAATGGCATAGATAATCGATATCTAATTCAATAGCATATACTGGATTTGAAGGCATTATTTTGTTTATTACAGCGTATATTTCATTTCTAAAGCATTAAATGTGAAACACAAAACTGAAAGGAAAAACTGACGTTCCTAATGTTACGGCATTTTCCTTGAAATTATGGTTAAGGAAATAACCAAACGGTATTATTTTACATGCAGTGTAAGATTAAATATGGCATTTCATATCCCGGTATGATATAAAACAGAAATCTTTTTCTCATTTCTATTCCGGTTTTTTTTATTTTAAATTTCCTCACGAATTTTAAGAAATTTTAAGAATTTACAGAAATGTCTTACTTTTATTAAAAACAAAAATGAAAAGATAATCTCTACTATTTTATATTTCCTGAATGACTTATATGTGCCTTTTTATATTAAGAAAATTGCGTATTTAGATTGAAATGTATTGTAATAAATTTTATCTTCTTCTGTTTCGTTTTTTTCTAATCTTTATCTGCAAGCCACATTTATCGAATATATTAGATAATTTCGAAATAGGTGTATTATAAGTATTCCATTAATAAAAAATCTGGTGTGTACACCACATGACTTCGAAGCATTCGAAAGCGGTCAAAGTGGATATTTTCGTTGAAATATGCTGCCTGAAGCTTTTCGCGATTACAATACTTCCTTTTTACTTTGTACAAGAAAGTAAAAATGATGAAATATCAATAGAACTAAAAAGTTAAATTTAAAATGAATGTTTGCATGTAAGATAGTATTGTTGCTGTTGTTACTAATCCTCACTTGTCTGACCTATAGTAAGCCCAAGCCCACGAAAATCCTGGTGGCAAGGAGCATAAGTTTACACCTGTCATTGGCAACAGCCTTGATCCCTTTGCAAGTGACAATACAATTTAACTCAGTTCCGCCCCTAATTTTGATGGAGAGCACCCGGAGGGAGGCAATCCGAGGGCCTCCCACCCCTCTTCCCTCTTCCCTACCACTAACCTCTCGCGAGGACTTTCGGCTCGCCGCATATTTAAAGTACCCCCGTACCGCACGAGCACTAT